AGTGCAACGGAAAATTTAACAAAAATAATTTACAATTACGAGAACAATGTTCTTATTTTATTTATCGAAGTACAGAATATATCGATGTTATCCGAATAGTTATTTATCTCTGATAGTATACTGAATAATTTTGACCGACACGGTCCTAGGAATTGAAAGTGAAAAGGTTTGCAGCGAGTCTAGGGATATAAAAATTAAGTTGACTTAATAATGTTGAACATTTGATGCGATTATGTACTAAATATTAAATAAAAATAATGGCTGATATAATCCTTCCCATGTGTAAACTTGGCATTTTAAATAATACTAAGAGTTGATCCTTAGGAAATCCTCTTACTGGATACTTATCATGAAAACGAAAGTACCAACTTTTTTAAAATCGACGCTGGACTGGTTCGAACGCTAAAATCTGAACATTTGTATTGTAGACCATATAACAGAGGCATATTCCAAATTAGAGCTGGTGAGAGCACATAACACAAGCTTGCAGGCATCCGCATTATTAAAATCTTTTATCGATCGTGAAATAGAGCCCAAAATTTTGTAAGCTGATGCAGTAATGTGATTTATGTGATCCGCAAAGGTTAGTTTGTGATCAAATATGACACCAAGGTTATTAAACGTACCAGGCTTTTAAAAATACTACCATCTAAGTTATAGTCATAACGGATGGGACTTTTTCTACGAGTGTATGAATTTTATTTACCAGCATTAAGCATTAGGCTATTATAAGAACACTATTTGGAAATTATATCAAGATCACGTTGCAGCGAAGAACAGTCGGCTACAGTATCAATATTTGAAATCAATTTTAAGTCATCAGCACAAAGAAAACATTTACAATTAATTTTTGAGGTTACGTCGTTAATGAAGATAATAAAACACAACGGACCCAATATAGAACCTTGTGACACACCAGATATTTGAAAAACTGAGGTTGATTTGTATGCGTTAACTTGGGTCTATTGTGACTGCTCGGTCAAGTAAGAGTTAAAAAGCAGAATTAGTGCATTCGAAATATTCATGAAGTCAAGCTTATTTAATAAGACAGGGTGGTCAAGCCTTTAGTAAATTCAGTACAGATTATGTTGACCTGTCCTCTGTTGTCTTTTACTTCACTTATAATTTGGATTTTAACAGCCAGATTGGTAACAGTGGATTTGTCCTTTATGAAGCCGTGTTGCTCGGGTATTATAGAATTTACACCATGCTCGTACAGATGGTGCTTTAAAGTAATTTAAAATACCTTACTAAAATTGGAGATAATGGATATTGGCATATGATTGTTAACATCTGTCCTGCTGCCTTTTTTAAACACGGGAGTAATTTTTGAAATTTTCTATTTATCCGGAAACGTAGAATTCTTAATTATCATTTTAAAAATTTACGAATACAAAAAGCCGGAATATCATCAGGACCGGTGATCATGTTTGCTTTTATTTGTTGAATAAATTCAAGTACTACCTCTTTTGTGATTTTAATTAAAGATATCGTTTGATTTGGAAACGGAGAAGTGCTGTTCATTGTTGTTGTTCCTTTCTCTTCAGATCCTGTTATTACTGATATTAAAAAAAATGAAAAATTAAAAAAATATATTTTTTCTAGCGAAGCTTAATCCATGCTTCTATCACCGGATGTTGATGACCAAATCAGTCATGTTTCTGATAGTGATAATTCTTTGGATTGCAATTTTGATTAAATATTAGTTTTAAATAATTTTTGTTCGATTGAGTTATAGACCTAAGTTTATTGTCTCTATTTTCAGTTAATACATTCTCAGACCATCGATATAATATTATGATAGCCTTCTAATTAAAAAAAAAATGTTAATTCAATATTTTGATAATTCTTAAAGTATGTCCTGTAGCAAACTATTGTGTTGTTTAATTTTTTTTTATCGCCAATTTTGAATTTAATTTGTCTTCAACAAATAATGTAATTTCAAAAAGGGATTATTTTGTTATAAAAGATAGTAATTAATATATCTACTAATACCTAACAACTTGTTTTACTACTTGAATTTCTCACAACTTTATAAAGAATAGCCTGTACCTAATTAAAAAGGTGTCAGTTATTATCTCTGTTCATATTGTTTTGTTATATTTACACTTTAAAGATATTCCGGAATACAAAAGTATAAGCTTTAATGCTTTCCAGAATTGTTGGTAAGTTTTGATACTCCTTGTCTCTGTGTGCGGCGGTGGGGCAAAATAATAAAATAAAAAAAATAAAAATACCCTATTTCTTTTTGACCAATCCACAACTTTTTCTGCCACATGCATTTTATAATTTGAAAATCGACCCACCCTTGTATTCATATAGGTGGGGTCCCTATCCTTACGGCCTACGTTATATAGATTAGGGTCAAATAACTCGGCGTCATTTAACCAAGTTTAACCACACTGAATATAAAAATTTTTTCATTTGCCTAAAATACTCCTACAGTTTTGGTAATGAATGTTTAGACAATTGTTGGAAGTACACATATTTTTATTATTCACACCGAGTTTAGGTCTTCCATTTGCAAACCGTTGTAACACTGACGTCACAAAAGACTAGTGTGCATTCAGAAAGACAGTACAGTTTTTGTCCAAGCATGATTTGTTTTGACCTTTTGTACACCAATGCGCTTATTGAAGTTTACACAATTAATACAAGTGAAATTTTGTTAATCACAGTCCTTAAGTTTATGATTAAGTGAGCATTTAGGACAAATCGGATCAACCATAGAACATTTATTTGCAAAGTGATGAAAACTGTGACATTTAAAACAACGTCTCATATCAATAGCTTCAAATACCTCACAATAATCGTACCTAATAACTACATGTTAGAAATCAATGATTTTTTATAATAAATCGACCTGCACTAGTCTTGAAAAAATTTACTATTATGCTTCAAGGGCTGTATTGACAGTATCTCACATATGCTATCATCAGTAATTTACGATTTATTTTTACTTCTAAAATAATTTTAAAATGTGTCTTTATCATAGGACGTAGATAGACCAACGACGCGCACTCTAGAATGCAGACAAGTAACTTCTCTAACCGAATAATTGTTTATTAATTTAGTATCTGCTACACAGAAAAAAATTATCAACCACATTCAAGAAAAGCTTTACACTTGGAAGATTACATTTGTTTGAAATAAAGCAGAGTTTGCTTCAAATAATATTTCTTGATACAATAAGAAAATAAATGTTGAGTAAAGTATAGGCATAATCTTGTATTTTAAGAGTTATAATAATGAATCTGAGAATAAATTATTTCATTCAAGTATAGAATTGTGAATTAATCCAAGAAAGCTCTTAAGTTTATTATATGCTCTTAAAACCGACTATTGCGTAATTTGATTCAATGATATAAAAGTATTCGATTCAAAGCATTTAAATTTCAGAACAAGACTTAACAATTCGAATCAAAAACCTATGTACTTCACAAAAGATTAGCGACTACAACGTCACTGCATGGTGTTGCCAGCTGAAACTTATTTTAAAATGCAACCTCTGCACTGATACCGTAGATATATGACTGGCACATGTTGAGCTGTGATACTGATTATTCGGAAGTCCGAGACACAACGCATTTATGAAGAATCTGGCAAATTGGCATTAGCACGTGTTCATCCTATTGTCCATAGTCTACATGTTTGCATCGTATCGTTAGGGTTGCGTTATACTTTTTGTAAGAAATTCTTTGTGATTTAATTAATAAGTGTATGAATAAATTAAATTAAAATGGAACATTAGTTAAATGAATGGGGCCTCAGCGACCTGATACCAATATTTAAATATAAGTATATTTAGTTCACTTCTTGTTAGGTATTATTATATATAAGTAAATTTATAATCATAAAAAACTAAAACTGGAATAGAAGTAAAAAAAATGTATGATGCTGGATGACGACTTTTTGGAAAGACAACTTCTGCCTTGCTAAGACAAAAGGTCGTATCTACGAAAATTCTGATTTCAAGATTTTTACAAATTTAATAAGCTTATATTTTATTTTATTATAACACAAAATAATAATGGCCTATTTGCATTAGAAAATATTTGTTATAATTATAAGAAAAGGTTAGTAAAAGATGCAAAACTTATTTGCGAAGTCTAAAAGGACGTACTTATCTACATATCCACATTTAGTAAAAATATTCATTTTGTAGATACGACCTTTTATCTTATTAGGACAAACTTTTATGTCCATTTAGATTTTGAATTTATAAAATTATTTTTTTTTAATTATAGGTGGGACGCCTTAGAAGACAGAGGAATTTGGTATACTAACTAAAAACAATTTTGAAAAATGTTTTTCGGTAGATAGGTGCCAGTGAGAACCCTATTAAAAAGCAAGAACAGCCTGATCCTATTTCAAGATTATTAATTTCTTCAATGAAACTATCCTATAATTCAACCAAAATCAATATATTTATGTCAAAGATTATATTATTATTGTAACAAATTTAGTTGTATTGGATTAAGGAAAATGGTATTATTGAATATAAATAAGGTATATTTAAAAAAAGTGTAAGACTTCTAATTTCAAGATTATTAATTTTTCAATGAAACTATGAAACTCAACCAAAATCAATACATATATGTCAAAGATCATATTATTATTGTAACAAATTTAGTTGTATTGGATTTAAGAACAAGGTATTATTGAATATAAATTAAGTATATTTATAACAAGTGTAAGACTATTTTATTTAAGATGTACATAATACTGCAATTGAGCAATAGATACTCTTCATTTAATTAGAGGTATTTTGGTTAGGGCAAGTTGATTCTAATCTTGAAGCAAGGTTTATTAGCTATTGTTGAACAAGTATTACTAGAATTTCAAATCGAGACGAGTTTTACTTGCAGATATGCAAACACAACAAAGCATTGAATTAAGACCATACATCTTGAATATAGTACACCTTTTTTTCTGTGTAGTTGCTTGAAATTATCATTTACACAACGAGCCGCGATTCCACCCTGGCTCAAGTTTCTCACCTTAATGACAACCAATTGTTCGTCTACTGGATTGACCATTTGCAAGACATTAGTTTTCGTTACCTTAGAATCCTGTCCAGGATTCTTAGGTTTCACAATGAAGGTTGAACTAGTCACATTTGCGTACAATTTTTCATTGTGACTCGAATCACCATTATTAATGCTCTCAGTAATTGCATTTTTAACACATGGTTGTAAATCGTTGTTAAGAGTGGAGGAGGATTGAAGATATTTAAATTTATTTTCAAATATAACTTGCGAATTATCTTTAATTAAAGTGAATAAATCATTAATCTTGGAAAAAACTCATCAACCTCTTTTTTGACTACATTAGAAGATAGATATTCACTGGAGAAAGATTAATTTGGAGTATTCACATTTTTTTTTTTGTTAAGGAGAGATTAATATTCAATTCGGACACACTGCAATTTTTTAAGTACTTCGCTTTTTCTGTAGCATGAATCACAAATATAAACTAAATTTTTAATTTTGTTTAAAACTTTAAATTCAGATTCAGCGAGTTTGATGCAGGAATAGTAAAATCATTTTTGATATGGATCTTCACATCCTAACAGATCTTCACATGATTTTCTATTTCTACATTTACAAGACATGTCTGAGATTATTTATTGTACCTTCTGTGTAGTTGATATCGCTTCCATATAAATAAGTGATAAAGTTATAAAAACTAACAGAACTAGTTTAGCTGCTACGTATAAAGACTAGCCTATATTTGCATTACTGGTGCAATGAGAACCTGTCCTACGGCCGCAATGTAGGTGATCTTAAACCTCACCCCTCTACATTTGATGATAGAGAATGTGGCAAAAAGAACACGATATGGAATGATCAGGAACGAAGTAATCAGACGAAAGTCTACTTGCTTCAGGACTAAAGATATCTGGGACATGCCCCAGAATAAAATGCTAAAGAAGTACAGTTTTGTGAAAAACTTTAAAACCACAGAGCTGGGCTGTAAGAAAGAATGGAGCCAAGAATCCATCGCCCTGGCAACCGAAAGGCGTGCTATTCAGTGGTATACAGACGGTTCCAAAACCATAGAAAGAACTGGAATAGGAGTATATGGGCCGAGAACCAAGCACTCCGAAAGAAGTGTATTCAGTTTAACTTTGAGAGAAACCATCATAGACAAGAGATTATCATCATGTCCGATAGTCTAGCAGCCATTAGAGCGCTGAGCTCTTACTTAATCAGCTCAAAAATGGTCTGGAGATGCCTAGAACAATTGAATAAGCTAGGCGAAAAAAATAGAGTTACTCCCACGTGGGTCCCTGGACATAACGGGGTACAGACTAACGAGATTGAAGATAGTCTTGCAAGGAAAGGGGCTCAAACACACTTTGTAGGACCTGAGCCGTTCTGCGGTATCAGCAGTAACATAATATTAGGAAAGATTAAAAAAGAATTGGGCAGTAGAAGAACCGATAATTGAAACAATCTCTTGGGTTTGAGGCAGGCCAAGTTACTTCCGGGTGAATATAACCAGAAAAGATCGGAAGCCTGCATCTGCCTGAGCAAGAACAGGCTAGGTATTTTAACAGGGATCCTTAGCGACTGAAAGGATACCTTAGTAAAGAAGAAGTAGAGGATAATGAGTGTAGATTCTGTGAGGAGGAGGACGAAACCTCTATTCACATCCTATATAAATGTATAGCACTCCAAGGGCACTATATCTACGAGGATATAAAATAGAAGAGGGAGATTTAGCTAACTTGAAGCCATTTCAAATCCTACACTTCCTTGAGAAAATAGGATTGGAAGGGTCGTTATAGGCATTAAGACATTTCCTTAGTGCATTGGCGACAGAAGGGGCACAATTGATCTTTTAGGTCGCAGTGTATTAACACCCCATTCCAAAAATAACATAACATGACATATAAAAAGTAAGTAATCACAAAACGATTGTGAATATTTTTACAGCTGTACTTCATGGAAAAGCTAATAAATTAGCTTTATACGTACCTCCAACATCACTTGATCTAGGAAGAACCAGGAATAAGATGGACACAAAACATAAAAAACTGCTCACTATACTCTTTGACATTATTAAAAGTTGACTACGGAATCATAAAGTACTAGTATGGAACCGACTGCACAACCTAGTTGTACAATTTTTTTTGCGAGGCAAATTACGAAAGTTAGGTAAAAAATGAATTACTTTACCTAAAATTTCTCATAGGAAGACAACTCGACTTTACTAAAATACCTATTTTGTGCGAATTAATCGCAATGCTTTAATCTCAATGAGGATAAGTAATCGTTTAGCTCTAAAAATAATAATTGTAAGAATAAAATTAGTTAAATCGTTTGAGATTACCGAAAAATTTGCTATTAGAACCTACCTATTTTGACTATAGCCGCTGAGTTTAGTTTCCCCGGCAATAGGGATTAGACGGGCGTTTGCATCATGTCGTTTGTATTTTTTATATTTTACTATTTTTATTGTTGATTTAAGATATATTGTCCTTTAGATTTAATGAATTTTAGATCTTTTGTCTTTTCGATCAAATGTTATTCGATAAAATATATTTTACATAAAATATCATTCGATAAAATGTATTTTCGAAAACAATTCTACTTCGATCAAATGATTTTCGATTAATTTTGTACCACCCTATGACAATAAGTTATCAATATCTTAAATGCATAGAGCAAAAAGTAGAGGGCTTAGTCATTCACCTTGTAAAACAGCAGATATGAGTTTAAAGGATTTATATAGCCCCTCAGAACTTTAAATAAGGAATTATACACTCTCATACGTTTTAGGTATACATATAATTCTAGAGGTCAAATCCAAATTAAATAACTTGAGCTAGAGCAAAGAGTGGTTAACGGAATCAAAAGTACGTTTGAAGTCATTTTTCGCTTTTACAAGTGGAAATCCGGCTTGTTTCAGCAGAATATTACTATTTTCAGACCAAGTATGAAAAGTTTAGCATCACAGTTCAATAAATAAATGTGATCTACGAGGATATATCAGTTTATAACGAGACTGGTGCTATAACTTCTTTCAGAGGTAACATTTTATAACCCAAAAAAATAAGAGATGAAAGCCTTATATTTAATGTACTATCCCGCAAGTAGGCTTTGATTTAACTTTTTACATTTGTTACAAATTAATTATTGAATTGTCAGTGTTTTACGTACCCATCGAAAAATGAAAGTGGAGCAAAGATACGCGATGAAATTTTGTGTTCAATTGGGTAAAACAACAGCTGAAACTTTTGAAGTGATTAAAGGTGCATATCTAGATAATAGTTTATCACGATGTAGAGTGTTTGAGTGGCATAAAAAGTTTAAAGACGGTTGTGAATCAGTTGAAGATGAACCTCGTCCCGGTCGACCGCAAACTGCAAGAAATGACACAAAAATTGCAGAAATTAATGACTTGATACAAATTGATCGACGGATTGGCATAAAACGAATTTCTGACAATGTTAATTTGTCTTACGCACTCAAAAAATTATTCATGAAGTTATAGAGTACCGGAAGATCGCGGCAAGATGGATTCCAAAAGTGATGACCGATGAACAAAAAGCGAATCGAGTGACAATTTGTCAGCAGTGGAAAAGACAATTGCAACGTAACCCACAGTTTTTAAATAATGTGGTTACATGTGACGAAAGTTGGTTTTATCATTACGATCCTGAATTGAAGTCTCAAAGTATGCAATGGAAGCATAAAGGCAGCCCAAGACCGCAGAAGGCCAAAACTGCTAAAATCGCTGGTAAAGTGATGCACCTGATTTTTTTTTGATAAATTTGGCGTTATTTACGATCACATTGTACCTAGAGGACATACAGTAATAGGGAAGTACTATTCTAATGTACTTCAAGGACCCTTAAAGGCAAAATTAAAGAAAAAAAGGCCGCTTTATCAGGACTTTGGCTGGACGCTGCATCACGACAATGCTCCGGCTCATAGAGCAATGATTTGTCAACGAACAATTGAAGAATTAGGGGTTGAAATTATGGTTCATCCCCCCTACTCTCCTGACCTTGCTCCATGTAACTTCCATTTGTTTCCTGAAGTCAAAAAAGAATTGAGAGGTAGAAGATTTGATTCGGATTTAGAGCTCAACAACGCTGTGATGGGTATACTAAACAGACTATCAAAAAATGGTTTTTCAGAAGTTTATGATAAGTGGATAAAGCGATGGAATAAGTGTATTCAACAAAATGGAGAGTACTTCGAAGGATAGTTGTTGAATTTTTTTAAATAAATGTTTCGTTGTTATACTATAGCACCAGTCTCGTTATTTTCTAATACATCCTCGTATTGGTGAAAGGATCTTTTTTATGAAGCATGCGTATTTATCAGAACTATTAAAAGATTTTAAATCTACAGTTTCTATATGAAATGGTACATAGTATTTTACATAATCATTGATTTTTATGCAATCTAAAAAGTAGAAAAAACTAAATCTTCAAAGTAATAATTTTGCAAACATATTATCGAAAGACAACAAATTTATATATCAACAGAGAACTGTTCGCGTCAACAATCTCTTTAGCTAGCGTAAATATCAACTCAGCAAGCAGCTGAACTTACCAAATAAAACACTTACGATTTTTAGCTCTACGGTATCCGAGGGATTGTTTACTTATTTCGGTGTTTGTTTACTTGTCGATAAAAGTGAAGGAGTGTGAAACTTGTTAAGTGCATGTACATGTCATCTTGTGTTTATGGCAAACTGAGACATAAACTTCGCTGAAAGTATTACGAAAGTGTTTTCCAAATTTTAAATCTAAATATACTTTAAAAGGCAGAATAGTAGCTTGTGCAACAACAGAGGATACGGGCAATCTATAAAATAAAATCAACCTAAAAAAGATTTAATTTAATTAGTCTCTAACCAAGATTTGACCCGGGCTTCTCGCATGGCAGCCAGGCGCCCTGATCTCACCTCCACCGGCATACTTACCATTTTAGTTTTAATATTCCTAATTAATGTGGTTTCATATAGTTTTTTTTTAAATTTATAATTGATTTGTAATTAAAGACAAAATAAATATAGAAATTTATCGATTATAGATAAGAATAACTCATTTTTGCATATATTTAATATCAATAACTAAAAAAATTACTTACAATCAGGTTGACAAGATTGTCTCTTACCTATATAAAATTTAAAAAATAATAGTTACCGGAAGACCAAATTATAAACTGTGATTAGTAAATTTAATTTTTTATCCGTGTTCTTAGTAGGTAGAATGGATAGGAAATATATTTATTCAGTTAAACGCAATGGCATACTTTTTCGTTTTGTAGTCTGTGCGTAGATAAGCTAATATCCATATGGGCGCAGAAAAAAGTTAGTGTACTGTTGGTTTATGTAAATACAAATAATGGTATTAATACAAAATACTAAAAACCGTACTTTTTCAGAAAGTTTTATTTTAAATATTTTTTGGTACGTTTTTTAATTAAACTATTTTCTTTCAATAATTAGTGGGAGCATAATTGTATTCTGGATTGCTTTCTATTTGTTTGCCGATTGTTTACATTTGCTCATACCTTTCTATATATCATTCTTTTGTTATCTATGGTAATAACATGCATACTTATTTTTGTTTTTATTCTATGAAAAAGCCACTATAACTGATGATGCAACAATCCGCGAAAACTACCAGTTTGACGTATTAATAAATAATAAATAACACACTAGCCGCAGGCCTATTTTAATTTTATCGTCAGTTTGATTAGTAAATCCAAATAGCAAAACTTTACAGTCGGCAATAAAAACAGTATTTTAATTACTTTAATGATAGTGATGCGATGCTGAAAATTTAATTTGGGAATATAATGGCCAAAAAGTGAAATGCAGCCATAAAAAAGTTAAAAATTATTTTTTGGAAAAAAGTGGAGTTATGTGATTTTATCCGGGATTTCGATTCATAATCATAGGTTTTTTCAAATTAAAAAAGCATGATATCAAAATTGTATAATAAACAAAAATAAAAAATGGAAAATATTAAATTATTTAAATATAGTTTTATTATATTTTTGCACATGTGGGGAAAATAAAAACCTGTTGATATTAATTGTGCAGTAGTTGGTCATAAAAGGCGTGGTAATCCTTAAGTAATCCTAAATGTTGTGTTTTTCGTACCGGAAGAGCATTATAGATATTTACATGATTCAATTTACAATAAATTGTTCCATTTGGGTTGTGTTTAAGCTGTGTTATTAAATTTACGGTCTCGAAAGAACCCATTCTAATAGTTTTGTAATATCAAATTGATATAAAATCTTTAAAGAATGCATGGTTCAAATATTGAACATTATATGGTTTCGGATTTTTTTTGAGCATCTGTGCATATTCTGAAGTAATTAGCTGGGATATTTATTGTTCTTTCTGATTTGCCTTTCAACGGTCGAGTGCATAGAATCACACTGCAATTGTATATGCCCACGTTTTAGATATAATTCAAAATTACGTTTGACATAGTCATGTTTCTGTTATAGCTAGTACAACCATCACTATATAACATGTTTGTTGACTTATTGTACTTATCAATTTCTTGTGACAGAAGCGCCAATCTGCCTTTAGATTCATATCATAAGAAGAACCCATATTTATTCTTCAATATTTATACATTTAACTTTGGGCATAGTAATGCGGTCTGCATATTCATGGTATATACTTTGACATCTTCATCAGAATTTTTATCATTGTCTTTTTCCGCTCAACCTTCTTGTTTCTTAATTTGACGGCGTGCGTTTTATGAGAAACACATAAATCACATTCGTCTTTTTTGAAAAGAAAGATACTTAAATTTAAATCTGAGAACATGAAATAAAAAACGGCTATTGAAAGCAGACGTTCGTTTGGGTGATTAATTGAACAACAGATTTTATATAGTTTGTATAGTTCATTTTTAGATTTATATATTGGCTCTTAATATAATCTGTTGCTTGAGCTTCTGCTGGCTTACCATTTTCGGTAGCGGATCAAAAAATGTTGCTTCCTAGTTGTCATTGAAGGATTTTCTTCTGTTTCGTTGCTGGTTCGATTAGTTTAATTAAATGTTTAACTAAATAGTTTGGTCAGTGTTTTGAGCAGTCTCGTGCCCAACATTACCTTGACTGTGTGTTGACTTACTGTTAAGCCAGTGGGTAATGGTCCAAGGTTTGATAGCTATTGTGTCGCCGAATATTGTTTTACATACCTTTAATTTAATTCCTTCGAATTTAGGAAGATAAAATTTATATGTACAAGATCTTTTACTGGCGCCTTCAACTTTTCTATTGCTGCTTCTCTGAGTAGCTTCTTTTTTAATAGGAGTACTTACATATAAATGTTTTTCTTTCCAAGACATATTCCAAAAATGCTTACAAATTGCATTTCGGTCTTCTTTAGAAAACATGGAATACTTTAGCTTTGTTAATGTATTATTCTTTAAGCATTTGCATGCATCTCGTAATACTTTGTATGGTTTTTTTAATCGTATCTCCAAGTATCTTCAGTTTTTTTCTTCCGTAATATTCTAAACCAGATACCCTTCTTTTCATATTTTTCTCTATGGCCCAATCTTCCTCTTTAACGTGCCTTCGTTTGCGTCGCTTTTTTTTGGTTTTTTCCTTTATCTCTTTAGTCGTATTATTTTCCTTAGAGAACTGGCTTACATCACTATCTTTCTCGATTTCATCTATCTAAATTCAAGTCCCGGTTCTCCTTGTCTTCAGTAACATCGCGTTTTTGGACAAAACGTTCTCCCCGATTTCACCTTCACTCTACTGTTTTATTGCTTTAGTATCTACATCCCAGTCTGGGTCATCACTTTTTCTCTTGTCTTCATCTCGGATAGCGTTTTTTTCTTATGGGTCATCTTCGTTATTTTTTGAATAAATATATTTTGATCCATTTTGGTGGTGGTTACTGTTATTGGATCATCGACTACATCAGTATATAATTTACCACATGGAGCATCCAATGTTTTGATATTCTGATTTGTTGAGTTATAAAGCATTGGATCATCAGCAGACATTATTTTCATGTCCATGTCCAATAATTATTTCTAAGTAAATATTTATATTGCTGTTATCGTTCTCATTAGGTAATTGTATAGCTAAGCTTATTATTTTTTTTTTCTTCATCCCATTATTTCAAATCTAAAAGCAAACAATCATTGGCTTTTTAATTTTTATTTTGTAATATTTCTGTTTCTTAACCTATTAAAATTAGTAATATGAACAAACTTGGATTTTCTAATAAGTCCTAGTGAAGTAAATACTTCTTAACCTGGAAATTCACCAACTTTCAACATTGTATAATTATTAATGTTTTATTTAATAACAATTTTTTATTATGATAAATGGTTTAATACCCTTAGTGGGACTTGCGTATATTTCGTAGAATATAAATATTAAATCATTCTTTTAGATGGCACCAAAAGTCTAATTTCGAGAAAAAGTGGATGTGATTTATTAATTATTAATTCTCTCTACAAAATTATGAAAATTACACTGTCATATTCCTAAAGCGAAAACAACCCAAAGTAGAATTAAAAAAGCTGAAAATTAAAAAAAGAAAAATGTTGTGCGAGATCGGGTATCTAATCTTGGACTTAGGCCGTCCGCGCGTACCTCACACGTACGTATTGATATCCGATTTCATAAACTTTAGATTCAAACTCCCATAAATTCTAAGTCTATCACAACTCTTTAAATTCTTCTTAATCCACCCTTTGACATAGTGTAGAAAGACAGCAATTTATAATTACATTAGAACTAAATATCTTAGAACCTTCATTGGTTTAACAGCGTTGTTTTCGACTATGGTACGTCGTAAACATGAAAATGAAAGAAAGTTAAGTAAGAAAGTCAGATAAGATCTAAGAAACAGATTGGAAGTTTACGAATTCGGACATCAATACGTATGTGTAAGGTAACCTAATTGATAAGCGCGCGGAAGGCCCAAGTCCGAGGTTTTCAGATTCAACTCCCGGTCTCGCACGGATTTTTTCTTTCTTTAGTTTTCAGCATTTTCAATTTTTCTTTGGTTTGTTTTCACTTTGAGAATACGATTATTAAGATTATCAGAAGTTCCAAATTAGCATTTAGTTTTTCGAATCTAAATCGACTTTCTCACTTTACTTTCTTTCATTTCATTTACCGTACTCAAGAGCTTATCACTGTTCAACGAATGAAGGATCTTAGATATTTAGTTTTATTATAAATTACTGCTTCCTACACGATGTCAAAGGGTGGCTTAAGAAAAATTTATAGAGCTGGGAAAGAGTAACAAATGAATGAAAATCAAACACAAACTGAGACTGACATATTAGATGTAGACACTTAAGCCATAAAAAAATTGAATATGAGCACATATAAACAGTTGAGTGCCCGATAAAAGAACGAAATCTATTCAGCTCTAATAAACATTGAAATTTACACTTAACATTTCTTAAAGCCTTTGATATAACCAAATACCTTTTCAATACTACAGACTTTCCAAATTTAAAAATAGAAAAATGAAACATCAGCAAACTTATAGTTCTAACCCACTCTCATTCGATTCACACCTGGAGTAACTCGATTTACATAGGCAAGAGAACGTACCTTTTTCTTGAAAATTCTTGTGGTATAATAATTTTTACTTTTCTTTTACCTCTAAATTTCGAATTAATTTCCAATTAGATTTAGCATATTATTTATCCCCTTGTCATTTAAATTTATCTTTTAGCTGGGAACACAATTTAAGTTGGACAATGATTTGGGGATAACTCCTTATCTCTACATAAGCACAAACTTCTTGAGGTTCTATTTGACCTAAGTGTTTATACCCTATTCATTGTCTCCAACATTGGGTTTTTCTGTAAATTTGTATATGCCATATCCACCATGGCATATGACAGGAAGTTTGCAGGAATATTCAAGGTCACCATGAAACATATGTTCACGATATGTTTTTATCTGCCAAAATATATGTATGGCATATTCTCTGGATTTACTGAGGACATCTATGTATGCCTATATTCGTGGTATTTAAAATATTCATGGCATATTTAATATTTTTTTTTTAATTCAGTACAATACTTTAGAAAATAAAACCCTTACTTAAATACGAAATAAATTTTATTTGAAAAATAAAACAAATTTTCAAAGATTAAAAACTACATACATACAAACAAAAAAAATGTAAATTTAAATTTATTTGCTAAAGTTTTTCACGTACTTTTCTCCTAAAAAAATAATATATAAGATATGTATATGTATTATGAGATATTTACATTTTGATGCTTTTAATAATAAGTGTTAGAATTGAGATGAAAATATCAGTTAAAATAGAAATATTTCAAAATATTGAGACAAAAATTGCAGAAATAATTACTTCTGTAGCATCTTTGGGTGACTTTATTTATATTTATGGCTTTCTACATTTTCTGTTACCATTTGTGTACTGTGAATTTTTCTACACATCTCTAAAAAACAAAAATAGTGCCTTGTCTGCAATTTTATTACGAATAGCCTATATTTTGATTTCCTCTAAAAACTTTCATAATGATCAGTAATTTTATTACTTACAATATGTAAATCATTAGCATTATATGTCTTTGAATTAATATTATCCTTTACAAAGAGAGATGTTAAAATAAACTCAGATTCTTGAATTTTACATGAGTTTTTTCCTGGTGATAAGAATGATGATATTTTCTCGGAAGATTCAGTAAGAAGCTTACATTTTACATTCATCTGAAGCTAATGCTCTATCATTATTTGAGAACAAAAGAGACTCGTCTACCAATTGATTTACATTTCTTATAAAATATTTATTCATGTTTATAATTTTAAGCATTACGCTGATACTAAACATTTTAATTAATCAGACTTGCCCCTTAGGTGGGTATATCGTGAGACTTAAGATACTGTTACGCAGCACCCTGCACCCTCATAGGAAACGTACAGATAGAAAAAGAAGTGGAATGTTACTCATCCCTCTACAGTGTGCTGCGGTTGTCATAAGTATAGGTACGAGTAAATGAAGAATATCCCCGAAATGTCTCGAAGTGTCATTCCTTGTAAAAGAAAAGTCCAGATTGTTCGAGAAGGTTATAGAAGGTCGAGGTAAGCTATATAAGGCGACGACATGACGTCAGTTGGCAGTTTTATGATAGACATTACATGTTATTGTTATCAGTTGTAAAGTTATTGTGTCAGTTATTGTAAAGTTGAACTGAAATAAATTGTGATACCAAAAACCAGTGTAGCATTGGTGATAGCGGTGGGATCAACAGTCATAGTTAATGGTAAATACTACAGTATGAAGCAGACATGGATACTTCAGGCCCACCAGCATGATTTTTGAAGATGAAAAAGGAGAAGGAAAGGCGTAGGAAGGAAGAAGAGGAGGAAAAGGAAAGGCGTAGGAAGGAAGAGAAGGGGGAAAAGGAAAGGCAAGAAGAGGAGAAGGAAAGGCGTAGGAAGAAAGAAGAGCAGGATAAGAAAAGGCGAGAAGAGGAGAAGAAAGAGAGGCGTAGAAAAGCTGGGGTAGAAATTATGAATGCTTTGCTACCAATCCAGGAAACCTTCAAGCAAGAGGTTGGTCAGCTTAAAATTAGCATATATCTGTTAGAACAGCAGCAAGAGAATTTAAAAGTAATTTACAGAACTTAAAAATGAATTTAGAACATCAAAAAGAATAGGCTAGAGTGGAGTTGAAAAGGCAAATTAAAGCTGAAATAGCTGAGTTAGAGAAAAGAATTCATGGCCAAGCTTCCGTAAGCAACATTGAAACTGAAAACTACCTCGTCCTCATCTATTAGCCAACCAAGCCATATCCAAAACGCATTTTCGCAAAGATATACTAACAAGACCATTAAGCCACCCACGTTTGACCAGGGTATCATGCATAAAAAATAGATCTTTTTCTTTGCATCGAGAGTGCAGCACATACAAATTGTATGGATGGAACGATATTTTCAGAAGTTTTGTAACTAAGTGCTATACTTTCGATGCAAGGGAATAGACCTTATATTTCTAACAATTTAACCTTCCGTGTAACAAAGACTTACTTTTGACGAGAAGTTAGATTATGAGTGGAGCCAATAAGACTCTATAAGACTCTATTAGGTAATTTTGACTACCAATACGTGCTAGTCGCATACTTTTGACTGTTAGAATAGAATCGTTCTTTTGTTCTTTTCTTGTCTACATTATAGGAAAACTATACATACTTATTGTATCTATGAAGAGAAAGATAATTTTGATCTAAGAGATTTAATTTTTTTTATTTGAAAATAAGTTTGCGTGATAATGATTTAAAGTTTTATTCAGGAGTTCTAAGTTCACGTTTTTGTTTTAGTTTTTATAAACTAAA